AAAACATGTGAATTACTGACCATAAAGTCATTATCTTATTAGAAAATAATTATTTTGGCTATCTGATCAGTTTTTTTTTCCTCTAGTGTCATATTTTACTAACAAACCGAAAGAACTCGATATCCATAACAATCCCAAAAATTCTATCTGGCCTATAACTCAAAGCAGGATATAAGTTATTAATGAAAAATATATTCCGTGTCCATCTTGAGTTGGGATTCATGAGTAGCTTTGCTTATGGGGAAACTTTGAAGATACTTTATAAAGGCAGAAATAGACTATTCTTCATTTTCTAAGCAATGAAAGGAAGTGAGAAAACAGTAGGAAGATGACATTGAGACGTGGAAGTGTGACCAGGGTGAATTGTTTGAGTTGTCTCATATTTTCTTTGACCATTAATGTCCTTGGAAAGTTATTCAGTGACAGTGTTTAGTTTTAGAAAAAAGCTGAAACTCACATCACTAATTAAATATTGATTTTTCTACCCAGTGTTGAATATAATCAGAATATCCTGTTGTATGAGAAAATACATCATTCTAGATCTGAAAACTAGTTTATATATGGGTCATCATATAACATTTCATAAAATCACAAAATATTCTAGCTGAAAGTAACCTTAGAGACATCTTTTTGGGGAAATTGAGGTACAGATTAGTGCTCTAGATCATGTGATTAGTTATTGACAAAAACTAACTCTTCCCCTTCTATTATAGATCAGCAGATTCTAATTTGAATTGAGAACATATTTCTGCTGCTACTAAAATGAAAAAAAAAAGACAATGTAATTAAAGGATTATATCGTGTAATAAGGAGTGGTATTTAGATGGCTGATTTAAAAACACTACCCCATTTTATGTTATTATCCTATTTATTTATTTATGTACATTATCCCATTTATCAGAAAAGTAATCTGAAACTAAAGATAATAATTGACTATTATGGGTGGAAAATAAAAAGAAGTCACATTTAAATCCAGGTTGAGTATTTTTTTTTCACTGAATCTCTGAGAAAGAGTGAGGGGGAAATCCTATTTTGATCTTTCATAGAAAAGTAACTAGTACCTTTCACATTGTTACTTAAATTAGCACAAAATGAAGTAGCACACTGGCAATTATCTGATTAATTTGATTAGTGTGGACAGTCACATGTGATAATTCAGGTCCTAGCATATTTACTTCATTTTATACTGGGTAAAAATATATGGCCCAAAATTAAAAAAAAAAAAAAAAGAATCCTGTCTGGAGCTGGGGAATTAGATGAATGGGAAAGTATATATTGAATAGTCAATCCTTGCATAGTACAAAATATGTCTGCTAGCCTACATTTTGGAGGTTAGCATCTAGTACCTAGCACAGTATCTGGCATGTAACAGCTACTTAATAAATGTTTGTTTAATTGAATTAGTAAATAAAATTATGGTTAATTAAAAGCTATGATTAACAAATGGGAACCAGTTTTTTTTTTAAATAAAATAGAAGTTAGTGATTAACTTCCCCTATGATCTGTGCTTAAATAGGAATACCAAGAAATAAAGCAGCAGGGATATAAAGAAGCCAGAGGTCAGCTAAGAGGTAATAATATATAGTCCATATTTCAGCCTAAGTTATTTTTAATGGAACAAAAATTCATGGGATTAAGGAAGGAGAAAAATATAGCTTCTTTATTCCCAGAATAACAACATTTCACCTGTATACAGAATGTTATAGCTTTAAAAGAGACTTCTCTCTTTAAAATTTCTGGGAACTATGCAGATGAAGAAACTTCAGTTCTGAGAAGTTAATGGTTACTTGTCCCAGGTACACACACCCAATAAACCTAAGGAATTAGAGCTTCGTTGTTCAGTTTCTAAGTCCAGTGTTCCTTATACTACACCATTAAACTTATATCATAGTTAAGTTGAACTTGAATTTGAACTGAAAGTTGAGAAGGGCCAGGCTATATCATTACTTGAAGCAGCCTGGGGTAGCCATCTATATAATCTGAGGCTCTATGTATCTGAAAACCAGCCTGGGATTCTTGATATGGCAGGTGTTGACACTGGACCTGGAACAGGGACAGATGTACTGAGCATAAAGGATGTTTCCTGAAAACTTTATGAACAAGAATAGTACTTTTATTTTAATATAACAGTGGATCTCTGAGACAATATTAGGAAACTTATTCAGAAAAAAACTAATAAGCTAACTGTTGCTATCTGGAGTGAAGGCCATTGTTTTCATTGTGTTTTCTAAACCAGTTTCTTTGAGTATTTTTCTGATCCTATCTTTTAGGAATTTGTTGTTATAATACTATATTTGTAAACAAAACAAGCAAAAAGCTGCTAAAGGTGGTGATCAACGCTGCTTAGTTCTCTAAATTCTGTTCACCAGAAAAGAAGCAGGCTGTTGGTTGATATTTTTAATTTATCAGAGATTAATGCCAAATGGAGTCACATAGTCCTTCTATTCAGTAGGGAATGAAGCTTATTAATTTTAACACCAACAATAATAATGGTGAGTAGTATATTGTTGATATGTCTTGTATACAGTGAACCTCAATACAACAGCAACCAAATAGACTATAAACTCCTTGAGGGCTAGGATATTACCTATTTTGTTTTTAATTTTTTCTTAACACCTAAGGGATAGCACTGGGCAAATAATGGATTTGTTAGGTATTTTTAAAAACTGATTCATTGGAATTTAAGGAAGAAATGTTTTAATTTCTCTTTAAGACTTAATATACCTAAATAAACCCATTATAACTCCAAATTAAAAAACAAAACAAAACAAAACAAAACAATCGAGCCTCTTTTAAAATGCATTGAAACATTATTGAAGAATAGTTTTGGGGAAGGAAAGAATGAATTTTCAATAGATGGGTGTAGTTAAGTGCAATGTCTTTAATTGCTTCAGCCATTTTGGAATTGAAATATTTTAAGAGATCACTTCTTTCTCCATATACTTTTATATTTAATGAGATCTTGTTTAACTTGTAAATCTCAGATTGTGTCTCTATAGTGTCATTCATTCACCACCAATATATTGAGAGTATGTTGGGGAGGAGGCAAAGAATGTTGACCCAAGAATCAAGAAGACTATAGAAAGCACCTTTAGCTTCTCATAGCTTCAGTTTCCTCACATGTAAAAGAAAGGATAATACTTGTAGTAACTTATAAACATTTACATGTCATTAATGGGGGTCAAATGAAATAATCTACATAAAGTATTTTTCAAACCTACTGTTCTATATAGATTTCACCTGTTATCAGGAAATGGAACTTACAGTACTCAAAATGTTTTGATGCAATATCATTAAAGATTTGCTGATTTGATATTTGATTTTATTAAAATTTTCATCAGTATGCTATGGCATTGTATGGTCACAGCTTGCAAATATCAACACTTTTCCATTTGGGACCATAACTGAGGTGTTATCTTCTTCTCTCAATTGAAGAAAGCAGGAGTTATTAGCTTATTTTTCTTTTTAGCTTACAGTAGTAAAAGCAAGTGGTTTAAACATTCTCTTATATGTATTAATTAGTCATTTTGTGAATATTTTCTCTTTCCTCAAATCTGTCTGATTTGAACCAAAAATTAAAAAAGATAGATTGGTACTGAATGCCATTTCTAACCTGGGAAAAGGAGGTGAGCCATATACTACTTACAGTTAATTTGTAATGTAATAGTAATACTGGTCCCATCACACTAAGAAAAACCTATCTCAATATTCATCATAAAAATGTTGTAGCAATATATGTTTTATATAACTGTGGTCTTTAGTTAATTATAAAACCTAATTAACCATCTACCAAATAATGCTTTCCATATCATATGTATGAATAACTTATTTACTTTCCACATCAGGAATTTAGGTGAAAATTAGTGATATAATAATGAAAGGGTCAGCTCTTCATAAGAAGTTCAAAAGTTATTGAATTTTTTTTAGCAATGATAGTTCTTCTAAGGGGGTGGATATATCCTTATTCACTGCTCTGAATTTTTTGCAGACATTATTTAAATATTTATGTTTTGCTAGTAAATTACAGTAAATGAACATGTTATTGTATTTATGTCAATAAAATGATTGAACAGGAGGTATTCATTAAATATCATTTGAATTAAATTGAAAATGTCCAATGTTAATGCTTGTTTGTAGTTTCTAGAAGTTACAAAGTAAATTACTAAGATAGTTGCCAAGGAAATTAATTTTCACCTTTATACTCTGCTTGTAATCATAATTGTTTTTTTTTCTTTTTTACATATATGTTTGCTTAAGAAGAGGAAATAGTCTAATTTCTAAAACAGATAGTGGTATTGGTTTGAGAAATGTTATATCGACTACTTTGGAGACAGCATGTCTCTAGGAAGAGGTTGCAAATTTGAATGATAGAGACACAACTCCACTTTTATGGCATTAACAATGAAAATATTCCTGAAGAATGCAGCATTTTACCAATGATTGGGTTTTTCATAAAGACTACAGGAGAGAGGATTCAGTTTTCATCAAGCAAGGGATCTTGCCAGTATTTCCATTAGGGGAAAATATAATAAATAAACAACAACAACAACAAAAAAAACTATGCATTTTTCCCAGCCCCTTACAAAGTTATATCAAAATAGAAGTCATTTCATGGAAGAAAGAAAAAGGAATCCCACAGCACTTCTTTTTAATAACTGTTCAGCTACAAAATTTTATTGGTATCCTTTTATGTTCCCTCTAGAGGATGTAATGCACAAAAGCATTGCCACGGAACATATAAAATTACAAATGAAATTTATTGTAAAAAGTAGAATGTCTTCTAGACTGGTGTCAGTATTTATTTCATTCATAAACCAAAACTGCAGGTATAATATATTCATTGTCAGCAAGTTCATGTGTAAATTGCCATCCAACGGTATTGACTGATATAAGACAGATATTGAAAAGACAATTTAAATTTACTCTTCCAAACATAAACTGTTCCACAAAAGCACTGTAAAAACTCCTTCAAGGTTTTGGGTTGTGCTTGACATGTATGGTTAACTACATAATTTGGTTGTGTCGTAATCCATTGTGTTTGGCAATTTGGAGTTAAAGGCCTGCAAAGCAGATTGAATTCTCACCACCTCACTAGTCGACAGCTTGAGTCTATGACGAAGCAAGCAAGAGAAAAGGTCAAGACGACGCTGACCAGGTGGGGAAAGTTTATTTACACGGTCCCTTATCTCAAGCAACTGCAAAAGTGCTGAGTCCTGGGATCCCTGAGTATAAGGGTAGTCCAGCTGCAAGATCAAATCCCGAATTGCTTCAGGGTCAAAGTGCATGCTGTAGCCAAATACTTGAATGTTGTTGATTTTCATGTAGCCCAGGTTCCGGGAAGGGTCAATAAACTCCAGTGGTTCATAGTAGATGCTTTCATTGCCATTTGGGCCATTTGATTTGATGCGACTCCTCAAGTAGATATGTACTGTTTCAAAAAAAGTCTTCCACTTGTTGCCTAGAGTCAGTGTCCAGTTATAACACTGAAGTGGTAAGTCCAACTTAGTCCGTTCCCAGTCTGGGAAGCTGTTTTCATTCACAGGCATAAACCAACTCTCAGAGTGGCTGCCTCCAAACGGATTGACATAAACAGCCAAAACTGGCTCCAAGGTGCTATTTTTAGTTAAGCAAATCTGCAGAGAGAGACCCAAAATCATGTGGACAAGGCTTGCTTTGTACTTGTTGCTCTTTAGGGTAAGGAGCATTCGTTTGCGCCAGGAAGGATCAAACCAGCTATTGAGACGCATGTCATTGCTGATGAATATGGCATGGACTTCAATTCTCCTGTCAGTTTTCTGCAAAAGATATTTCATTTCCAGGTCCTGCAGGTCAGTCTCAAAGCCAATATAGTGCTCTGTTGATTCTGCCACTTCCGGTTTACAAAGCCCTTGACTCAGCATATATCCGGTATTACAATTTCCACATCGTGTACGATTATCAGGAGCACAGGTTAAGCACGACGATCCATCTCCCACAATGCAGGGAAGGAAACCGTGGCAGGTGACCTGGTCATTGGGGCAAGTACAAGAGTGAGTTTCTTCAGAAAAGCTTCCCAGAAGGCCATTTTCATTGCAATACAGAAATGACTGGATACGGGTTAACCAGTAGGTCGAAGATCTAGGTAAAAAACAAAACGAAAGCACAAAGAAAACATAATTACAAAGAGATAAGATTGTCCAACTTATATCTAGAACAGGAACCAACTCTACAGCATAGTATGATCTGGATGAGACCTCAAAAGGTCATCTAATCCAATCACCCTATTGGTTGTGTTATTTTGTTTTGTTTTTCTGGTAGATGGAAAAAAATGAGATCTAGACAGATTGAATAGTGTATCCACGGTCACAGGTAATAAGAGACAAGAACCATAACAGGAATGTAGTTCCTTTGATTCTAAATCCAGCATTCTTTTTTTTTACAAAGATAGTAGTTATCCAGAAGACTTTCAGGGATGGAGAATGGTCAGCCTTATTTTCTGTTCTACTACCAAATAGCTCAAATTGTTTGGGTGTTCCTCCTTATACTGAGATAGAATTTATTTCCATGAAATTTCTGCCCATTGGCACTTGTTCTATCTTGTGGACCCAAGAAGAACAAGTCTAATTTTTCTTCCACAGATTAACCACCAAATATTTGTGCCTTAAATAAAGATTTAAGGCTAAATATCTTTAGTTCTTTAAACTAATAATTACAGACTTTTAATAGTGGTTTAAAAAAGGACAGAAAAAAGATACTTTTAGCTCACATTGGAAAGATTTTATAATCCATTTAACAGTACACAAGGATAAGTGCATTTGAGTAGACCCTAAAGTAGAGTTTTTCTGAAAACATCCACTTTTAAAGAAATAGCAGAAATCACCTCCTCATATTATAGCATAACCAGTTAACCTGCAACCTGATATTCAAAATGATTATATCAATGAAAGATCAAAGAATTATTGTGAAATGAGAACCTGAGATAGAAATATAGTTTTTTGTATCAAAAAAGTGCCTGCAGTAGACTTAAGGCATACACATAAATGCTTAGTTTTCACTCTTTCAAACTCAGCATCACGAGGGATTAGTGCAGGAGCAATCATGAATAGAAAGTAAAAATGATAAACAGAAGGGAAAGGAGAAATACATACACCCATGCATAATATGCATTTAGAATCAATGTATTTAAATCTTGGGGATTTATCCACCTTAGAAAAGAGAAATGACCTGAGGTGGTACACTTTTATTAAATACATTTGGTTCTTTGAAGATCTTATAAATAATAATTTCTCTCTCAGATGACCAATAGGGGAAGAGTAGACAGAATCTAGAGATAATATTTAGAAGGCTCAAGGGAATACTCAATGTGTTTGATTTGGATATTGAACTTTTTTTCAGACATATATTTTAAAAATCAAGTTATTCATGATGCCAAACTAAGAACTAAAGAATCAACCAGACAATATTTTTTTTTATTTCCCCTAGTGTTTTAAAATGCAGATTGTATTCAGGTCTCTGAGCATAGGATTAATTACAATATTTTTGAATATGCTATTCTGTAGAGTTTGATGTACAATGTAAGCAGGTTTTCCCGAGTGCAAGCTCTGTTTAATCCTTTATGGGAACAACACTGAAATTTAAAAAAACATAATTCATTTAAAAATTTATTAAAATAAATTGATGAGTATGCTTTCATACTATTTAAATGACAATTTGTGAACATCAAAGCCAACTGTTGAGCTGTTGACATTAGACATCTTTAAGCTATTAGCACAAGTGCTTGACACATAGTAAGCACTATGTAAATGTTAGCTATTATTATCATTATTATGAAGCACTGATAATATCCATGTTTTCTTACCCCAGATTCCTTTAATCAACACATTTTTATTTTAGACTGTATAAATTGATAACTAATCACGTGATCCTTGTATGAGAAATATTTTAAAACAGAATGTGAAGATGAGTAAATTAAACCTAAAATTCAAGAATAAGCCCAGTATCCTTGCTTGATGTACCAAATACCCAATTGTCTTCATGCCTAAAATAATTTTAAGAAAGGCATGTAACTCTATACTTCCCCTAAATTATACAGAAAACTATAGAGAAAAGTGGCTCAATAGAATCAGAATCATCCTTCCAGGATACAAAGTCACAGACTGTAGAAGACTAATCATAGCAACTTACTTTAGGACACTGTCCATATATCATAGAGTATTTACATCTGTTTAGGTCACTAGGTAAATGTACTGAATCCAAAGTCACTGGTTTAGTAAATTGAAAGATACCTCACCTTGTTTATATGCAGAGAATCAAAATCTCTAGATTTAGAAGGCTCCTTAGAGATTATATAGTCCTATCCATGCTAGAACAGAAATCTCTTCTAGTATAAAGGATAGGAGTATCTTTGATTACTTCGGCTAGTGGAAATTATTTCTTGACTTCACCTTTGACCAGGTGAAAAGGAAAATCCTTAAAGGAAATGGTCAAAGAATAATCTGATTTCGTCTTAATTATTTTTCTTTTCTCATGGAATAATTTTTTGTTTGGCCCAATATGATTTTCACAGAGTTCAGTTTTTGAGTAAAGTTTACCACAGTCTAACACAAGGAGCAAATTAGTTTTGGCCTTTTTTCCTCCTTAACTCTTCCATTTTGTATCTCTTGTTTCATTTTTCTCAGGTATTCTTGTAGCCCAATATCCAGAACATTCATTTCTCTGGAGTTCTATTTGTAATATTTTGCAGTTACTCTCTTATTCTAGGTTTACTCATTGGACTTCTCTCAATCCATTTTTGTTGGTGTTTTCTTCTGTTTGCTCACATCTCCAGCTTTAGTTTCTATATTAGGGGCATATATATGCTTCTGTGAAACTCTGCTTCCATACTCCTTAACAGTATAGATAGACCTTGATGGATCCTAAATTTAGTGACTAAGACTCTCCTTCTTCAGGAATTGTCTGGCTTTATCTTTTTGTATGGTTTGGTTCCACACTGCCTGACAGTGCGGATGCAGGGCCCAGTGCACCCTGGCTGGATGCTAGTCTAGCCTTGTCTTGTGACACAGATGGGTTCTACAGGTCTTCCCATGTTGAGCACAGGTCTGGTTCTGACTCTTGTTTTTAATGGAGACCGCAGTTTTCTCCTACATTGGATCTGGTCATTGGTTTACACCCCTTTTTGTATAGTCCTGGCTTGGACAGAACAAACTATAGCTTTCTCTTTGATTTTCTTTGTCATTTTTCCTTCTGGTACAATTTTTAGAACTTTAATGATGTATTTGTGAGGAATCTGGGTTCTTCTAAGTTCTAAGACATCATTTTCTCATAATTCAATGTCAGTGTAAGGGTCAAAAATACCCCACTTCATTTTAGCTTTCATACATAACTTGGAGAAAAATGGAGGGACACAAGGATACATTTTGGATAGGCCAAGGGAAGTTGGTATCATCTGTAAATTATTAAACTAGTTAGACCCGAATTCATTGAAGAAATTAGAATAAGTATAATGTTCTAGCTGTACTACCTGATTAGGACTCACCTGAGGGGGCAAGATTTTTCAAGGTAATACAGGTAAAATGTAGAAGATCTGGGATTTGAAATACTTATGAATGATTTGGATGAAGATGCACCATATTTGGAGACAATACAAATCTGGGAGGGACAGCTAACAATTGGTAACAAAGTCTGCATCCAAAATATTCTTGCATTTAAAATAATGGCTTAAATCTAATAAGATAGAATTTTGCTAGGATTAAATTTGTGTTTAAAAATCATTTGCCTTAATCCAATGTAGTAATTTGACATAAAATTGTGTACAAAAAGATATGGGGGTTGTAGCAAAGAATAAGTTTAGGAGGAGTCAACACTGTGACATATCAGTTTCTCCCCACCAAAAGAGCAGCCCCATCATGTTGGGCTGAAAGCAGTGTCCAAAATAATAGTGGTGATAATTCCCTATGTCCCCCCTCCACCTAACCCCCACAGACCAAATTTGAATTACTATATTAAGTTTTGGGTACCATATTTTTAGAATGATATTGATTAATTGGTAATATTCAGAAGTATAAGCAGTATGACAAAACTAGAAATCCTCTCTTAAAAAGACAGGTCAAAAGAAGCAAGTATATTTAAGCATTGGCAAAGTAAATACAAGCAGAAAGAAAAAAGTCTCAGTACTCATGAAGCTTATATTCTAATGGGGGAACACAATAAAAGTGAAAGCTGAAAAGAGGGTGGGGGCTACCTATAGCAGACATAGGAAAAGATTGGAGTGCAGCCTAGAGAGGAATGAAGCACTTTGACCAATGGGTAGAAGTTGGAGAAATATGATTTAGGTTTAATATAATGAAAAAAAAATGTAAACATTTAAGCTAAATCTCTCCTGGAACAACATAAGTCCATTATTTTTAATTTTTTTTTAGAGGAGTAGGTTGTATACTTCATGCCCCCAAAATATGCCCTAGAATTTTTTTCCTCCAAATTTAGTTTTGTTTCTTTAAACATAAGAACAAAGTCTGAAAAATACTTTTAAATGATTTATATTGAAATGATTAACTTTGAAGTCAGAGAGGAAAGGCAGTTAAGAGATGACAAAAGAAAAACACAAAGGATTATGGTTATTTTTATCCTGTCTTCACAAAATGTTCATCTAGGTATATAACAGAAAATAATCATGTGAAAAAGTAAGAAGCAACATTTTTTTTCAGAGGAGTAATTTAGTTGCCTTCCAATAGATGTTGATGTCTGAACTGTCTTAAAGAAAGAAAGAAAATGTTCACATTATTCCCAACACTCTGTGTATTATGTTCACTTACATTTATATATTGCACCCAGTGTCCTTCACATTCCTCATTCAGAAAAAGACTGCTGTGTTCGTTGCATAATTTTTATCATTTTACTACAAAATAGCCTGCATTATTTGATTGTGACACTTTAAAAACCATGCAGTAATTCAATTAGAAACAATTGGGATTAAAAATTTAAAAAAAATCCTAGATACATAACAGTTCACAATAAAGTCCTTCAGCATGTGTATACAATATGACAATTACCTCCTATTATCTCTTCTAATCATTAGGTCACCCCACAGATACTGAAAATAGCCCCTCATTACAACTTTCTAAAACCTTTATTACTCTCAA